TCAGAATTTATGGAGATCTTAGAGACTCAGAGAGGGTCGTTGTCTGGCCAGGGAAGGCCAGAATTTATGAGGCGTCACTAAGGTTTAGGAAAGGGTTGTTATCTGGTCAGGGAAAACCGGACCTGGGTGAGTTCAGGGCACGGGCAGGCATTCCAAGTAGGTTCAGAATTTGCAGTAATTTATAGTAAAGCCGAAATTATCTTTTCATGGTTTTATGGCGAGATGCCCAATTTTAAGAAAGGTTGGGTCTATCACTAGCAGGCATGAGGCCCTGGGTTTGAGCCCCAGCACTCCCAAAAAGTTAAAATAAAAATTCCAGAAAGTTCCCAAAAGTAAGAAATTGAAGTTAGAACTTGAAGTTGCCCTGCACTGAGAACTGTGCTGAATCCACACGATTGAAGGAAGTGTGGTCCTGTGCTCCTACAGCTTCCTGCTCGTCACAGACCCTCGGTGTGTCCCCTGTGCTTGTTTGGGCATGTTCACCGCACCCCCTTGTGGGTGCCTTAGGCCTGCGATGGCTGCTTCTGTACTGAGCAGGCAGACTTCTCTCTTGTCGTGATTCCCTAAACAATGCCATAGAACACCTGTCTGCGTCGTGTTGACATTGTGGAAGGTGTCGTAAGTAATCCTGCCATGAGTTATAGCATAAGGGAGGGCGCGTGAAGGTTGCGTGTAGATGCTACCCCATTTCATGCAAGGACTTGAGCTCACAAGGATTTTGACATTGATGGGACCCTGAAACCAATCTACTATGGATACCAAGGGGTGACTGCAATGATGACCATCTTCATCATTATTAGAAGGTCTCCTCAAGAAAGGGGAAAGGGACCAGTCCGCCCGCCTTGGGAAGAGATGCATGAATGGCTCAGCACCTCCCCTGAGGGTCAGAGATATTTTTTTGCACTTTTCTTCTTTCCTCATTTTCTTTCCTCCTTTCTGTCAGACCAATTCTTGAGACTTCTATTTCCCGCATTCTGTTTAGTCAACAAATATCTGCATCAACCAGGACCCTTTTGAAGTACCCCTAGTGGGCAGGCTCTCAGTAGACGTGGTGAGGTAAAACCAGCACCTCTAGCTTCAAGCTTACAGTCTAGTGGAGGCCATGGTCAGTTGTGTGGGGGGGTGGGTGCATCAAGGAAAGAGGCTCCTGTAGTGACTGGACAAATGCCAGGTTCTATGAAGACATAGACTGTGGAGCCAGGCCATCCTAGGTGCCCTTTCCATGTGTTCAGAACCAAATTCATAAATATACAAATCTAGGATGCTGGTGTCTCCCTTAAATGTGGTGCTTTTGTGCAGTGCACAACCTGCATGTCTGTACACTGTGGGGAAGGGGACCCTACCTCAAACTGGTAACTCTTAGAGGAAGTGATATCCAAGATGAGATCTGGAGAGTGGTTTGGGAGTAGGACAGTCAAAGAGGCCGGGAAGAATTTAACAACCCACAAAAACTGCATAGAGGTGAGACCAGGAAAGTGAGCAGTAGTCCCTTGTGGGCCCTGAGAATTCCTGGCTCTCATGAAGGAAGCAGGCAGGTCTGAAGCCATGTGTGTGGGCGGGTTCTGTTCCCTAGAGCTGGCTCAGGCAGACAGGGACCATTCGTTCTCCTAGGGGCATCCAGTACCTGTTGCTGCTGACCAAGGTGCTGACCTACCCAGGAACCACCTGATCCAGCAGGGCTGTCCCAGGAGGGCGCGGGAAGGTTTCATCCAAGTGCCAATTCCACAGTAGCGTTATAAGTTTTTCTTGTTGGGCTGGGGTTGTAGCTCAGTGCTTGCCTAGCACTGCCCCCCACCCCCCAAAAAAAGGAAAAAACAAAACAACCTCTTGAGGCCTGGATACGCCATGGTGGTACCCAAGAAGGGAAGAGTGGGCTTGGCTGCCAACAGCTGTGGGTGGAAAAGGAAAGGAGTGGTGCACTGTGGCCGAGAAGTGGGGTTCCGGAAGGGGCCTCCCTAGAATCCTGCTTCACTGCTGGGTTCCACCTCTAGCCTTCTTCACAGCTAAGGACTGTGCCCCTCTCAGAACCTTCCTTTGGGCACATCTTCAAGCCTGTGGTATCTCAGGTTTGGTCCTCAAGCATGATCCTGAGCCCTCGAGATGTAGCCCTCTGGGTGGGGGACATCACTGAGGGTCCTGCAGGGTCCTTTGGGGTCATTTTCTCCTCTTCAACTCCACGGGCCCACTTGACAGTGATGTTAGTGACCAGAGACATGTCAGGGGATAGTAGTGGGAATGACAATGGAAGCCACTCTCGATCCTTCAATTAAATGTCGCATCCAGTGCTTACAGGATTTAAACAGGAGCACGAGGCATGGCCGGTCAGAGTGTGGGAGCCCCTGGGGGGTGCAGGCTGGGAGGCTTCTGGCCAAGGACAGCTGCTGTAAGTGGAAAATCCTGTGCTCGATCCCCTCAGGCAGGGCTGCTGGGCAGTGACCACATTCCTAGACCTCAGAATCTGTTCAGAGCGCGGGGGAGCCTTCACTTGGGAGGAGAAAGAACAGGAGAGAAGACCAAAATGTGCACTTCAGGGACTTCCTGCCCACCCACCTGCCCCATTCCTGGTCCCAGTGGTGTGCCAGCCTCGTGAGCTCAGCGCCCCTGCCTGTCCAGAGACCCTGATCCCAGCAGAGCTGGCCAGCTCTGTCCAGTAGTGGCGGGCACAGGAGCAGAGCTCTGTGGGTCAGGTGCCCACATGCACGTGTGGGTGCAGAACACCAAAGGCACCCAAGGCTCACTCCCCTCCCCCACTGCGTTCAGCACGGCTCAGCAAGCTGGGCACCAGGGTAGAGACCCCAGAATGTCAAGCATTCTGGAACACATGAAAGTGCAAGGCACAGAGAAGGGGCAAGACACTGGGGAACCTAGTTTCATGTCCGAGCCTCAGGCTGGGGGTGAGGGGACATTGCTGTAAGCAGATGGGACAAGCAAGCTGCCATGCAGGCAGGCTTCAGGGACTGAAAGGATGAGCTGCTAGAATGGTTTTGGGGGATGCTTGGCTAGAGAGGCAGGACTTCTGGGTTCTAGAACATTCTTGGCCTCGGCGGCTTTGCCTCTGTTTCTCCTCTGATAAATAGGATTATGCCTCCTTGAGGAAGGCCGCTGCAGAACACTGTTTCCGACAGGGAAAGAACTGCCTCGAGCATCCGTTGCATGGCACAGACAAATCCCTTTTCTTCCAGAAGAATTCCACAGAGCCTCTTTCCCTGGGGAGATGGCTCCAGGAGTCGGTCTAGGCTGCCTGTGGCAGCATGTCCCCTGCTGACCTTACAGGACTTAGCCTGAGCCATGTCTTCCTGCCTCCTTGGGAATTATCAAAGGTCCCAGCTCAGAGCCTCCGCAGTGCCCCTGCCAGAGTCTGGGGAGCACACAGCTCTGAAAAGCTACTTTGAT